ATAAAATAGTGCAAAATTTCGCACTAGAGTCCACCATTAGAAAGCGTGGACTCAAAACTTAGCCGATTAAGCGTATCGGTCGTACAGGTAGCGACCCGATTACGCGTAATCGCTTCGTCGAACTAGTCAGTCGGTCGGTCGGCGGCACTCCTCCTCCTTCCAGTTCTCCTCTGCTCATATGTAATTTACATAAATCAAGAGTAAAAAATAATCAAAAATGGCATTTCCGTAAAAGTAACACCTAGTATTCATAGAGCTTATAGAAAGTTTTTGAATGCTTTTTAGGGAAATTAGAAAAAAAATGGCTATCGTGCAATTAAAAGTTCCGTTTAAGGACTATTTTAGTCGCCCCCACTCCGGGGGCTTTGTTCTTACCTTTCTAAATCTAATGGACTTAGGTAATCAGAGGGGAAAATAACCTAAAGGTTAATTTCCATAAAAAAACGCCCTACTGGAGAGCGTTTCTTTATATTGTATTAATTAAAGTATTGATAAAATATCAATAGGTTCAGGTTTGATAATCTTAATTTCATTAAGAGAATAAAATTGATCACATACTAAAATTTCATCAATACCTACTAAATTAACCAAGACACTATCAACAGTTCCAGTTATAGAAATTCCATCAGGGAAAATCTCTTTTAGTTTGTTAGGTAAAATTACATCAAACGAAATTTCTTTGCCTAATAAATCTAAGGCTTTAATATCAACACCAGTCATCGTGATCTCCTTTCGATCATTGTGATGAGCTAATTAGTTGGAATCCGACCTCCAGCTAATTAGCGTTAAAAGTTGGGTTATAAACATATCTGCGATATTTAGGTACATAGCTAAATCCGAAACGGGGTGCTTCGTCTTCACCATCTAATTGCTCCTTATCGCCATCAGGTGCAATCATTTCTTGATTTGTAGCATCTTCTTTAAGAACACCCTTTAAAACACCTCCTGTGGCCAGAAAACGCATCTTATGGGTTTGTTTAGTAACTTGACATAACCATTCGCCTTGATCGTCATAAGCGAGCATATCGGACGGTTTAACGCTATATTTAAATGTTTCTAAAATTGCATCATGTAATTTTGATTTATTTTCTTGATCTGTTTTTTTCTTATTTGGCTTAATTGCTTTTACATTAACTTGAGGAAAGTAATCTAAGCGCATAGCTTTAACCCACATTTCTACCCATTCAGTTTGTTTTATATAATCACGAGCAAAATAACTAGATTTAACTAAAAGCATAGCGTGAAAATGAGGGTGTACTTGCATTTTTTCATTTTTCTTTTTAGGACGGGTTATTTCTGTTGTTCTAATAAAACCATCAACTACACTCCTAAATCTTTTGGTTTGTATGAATCGCTGCCAACCCTTATTCATAAGATTCAAAGTATCCTTTAAATCTTTAACATGAGGATTTTTTACAGTCAAAGTTATAAATATCCATCGATGAGAGGGGTATTGTTGAATAACACGATCTATATTTTTATACATCATGGCTCGCATTTTTAATGACCTCCGCCATTGGCATACAGGACAGTGACGCACACGACAAAACCATACTTCCTTTAAAACAAGTTTTGATTCAACAACAGCAAATTTCAAATATCCTGAACAGCCATTAATACGGTCAGCATACTTAGTAAACTCAATATTTCGATTATAAAGAACAGCAATGTCTTCAGCATTAGAACGATGTTGATCCCAAGAAAGATCATTTGGCGAAATTTCAGATAAAAAATTGATTTCTTCATTGAAATCATGGCATGATTGGCTCATTAAAAGCTCGTTATGTTAGTGGAGGTCAGATGCCCTAACTTTACGAGCTTTTTTTATGCTTGTCAATTTAACAGAATTTTAGTTACAAAAAATCAATGAAAGCCTTTATACACAAGGGTTTTAATACAGTCGAATGTATTAAAAAAAAATCAGAGTTATTACTAAAGTATCAAGAGAAGGAAAAATCCTCAAAATCTGCCCTTTTTAACAACAGAAAGCATAAACATTTTTAATTCTCTACTTGTATTAGAACATTGCAGTTTACAAATCCTATCAAACTCTCTTTTAAGAGAATTATTAACTTTAAAGTTAATTGTAGAATCCAGGTTATTAGCATTATCAACAATATTTTCTAATTCAGATTTTCTATTTTTAATGTTAGAAACAAGATCTTGATAAGATGATTCCAAAGAATTGTTCATGATATACCGAGTAATTAATAAGTAATTATTAAATATATACTAAGTAATTACTTTAATAAAAATCAAAAAAATAAAAATTTCTGT